GCTCAATCCCCAGTACAAAAAAAAAAAAAAAGTCAGTGTTTTGGTCATCAAGAACAAACAATAGTTGGGCATGGTGGCACACACCTGTAATCTGAGAAACAGTCACAGTCAGAGATATGACAAGGAAGTGCAATGTGGGATTCCTGGATGGGATCCTGGGACAGCCAGGCTTTACTTAATAATAATGGACCACGATTGATTGATTCATTAACTGCAACAAACCACTATGCTTGTGTTAAGAGATCAATAACAGGGAAGTTGACTGTGGGTGCTGTGGGAACTCTTGCTGCAATCTCTGCGATTTTTCTGTACATCCAAAGTAATCTAATATGAAACATTTACATAAAACATTTAAAAATCCTTTCAGAAGGTTTCCATGAATGATTACAGCTTGTGGACAGAGGGTGCTGTGCTAGAGAGGGGCCAGGCCTCTCAGTTTGCACCCTCAGCCCCAGGGCCCAAGACCCCAGCCCCATTGGTCTCCCTCACCCGCTGGGCTCAGGAACTGGAAGTATAAAGCCCCACCAGGTGGATCCCAGCTTCTTCTTTGTTCCCAGCTCATTGTAATTCCAAAGCTCATCTGGCCACTGCCTCCAGAAGAGGAGGCGTCCCTATCCAGTCTCCAGCTGCCAAGATCCTGCCTCTGGGATAAACAGTTACCCCGGGACAGGACTGCCTCAACCCAACTCACTCCCAGTCCAAGGCTGCCTTAGGCCTGGGTGGGCACTGAATCCAACTTCCAGCCCCACTTCTCAGGCTTTCCCATAGGTCCTTCCTCCACCTCACCCCTCTGGGCCCCTCCCCATCATCAGCTCCTACCCTACCTCCAGCCCTAGCTGGGGTCTAAACAAGGCCCAGTTCCCTGCAACACTACCGGGGGAGGACACAGCTGTCCCTCTATCACTTCTGTTCTAGGGTAGAGTTGGCTTCTTCTCCTAGGAGCTGCAGCAGGGGCTCTGGGCTGGGCATAGGTTGCAGGTCCCTGCAACCCATTCTGTGCATGCTCAGGACCCCTTTGGTGAGTAACACCTGGCAGCACAGGGGGAGGCTTGGACAGGGCTGGCCGGGAACAGTTTCTGGCCATCAGCTGGAATCCTGGAGAGTCCACCCTGCTCCTTCCTGGCAAAGCCCTGAAAGCACCTTGGAGACAATCCACCCACGGCTTGAAATCCCTGTGCCTTTGTTCCTCAGGCAGTCAGCACCTCAGGGAGCTGTACTCTCCCCACCCCTCCAAGGTACACTCACACACCCCCACCCCACACTGCTCACGTCGGAGCACCACCTTGGCTCCTCTTGGGAAATTGCCTAGCCAGTCCCCTGGGAGGGAGGAGGCAGAGCGCCGGTATAGGAAGCTCACAGGTGGCTGATGGGAGTGGGGGAGGGCTCCCAAGTCCTCCAGGAGCCCAGTCTTGAGCATCAGCAGGAGGTCAGCAAAGAAAGACAATTGGGAGCTGGGGACTGAGGCCCAGCCTGGAGGGAAGCTTAAGTGCTCCTCTGCCACCCCAGACTGGGGAAGCCATGGTTTGGGTCATACTTGATCTTGAATGCCTTGGAGAATAATTTAGTTGTTTGTGTATTTTTTTTTCAATGTTTTCAATATTTTTTAGTTGTCGATGGACCTTTATTTTATTTATTTATATGTGGTGCTGAGGATCCAACCCAGTGCCTCACACGTGCTAGGCAAGTGCTCTACCACTGACCAACAACTCCAGCCCAAATTTAGTTCTTTTGTGTGTGCATTTGGTTGGCTTTTGGGGAGCATGTTTGTTTTGTTTTTGCTTTGCAGCACTGGGAATGGAACCCAGGACCTTGCCCAGGCTAGACAAACACACCACTGAGCTACACCCCCAGTCTGGAATTTAGTTTTATTTCCAGAAAAGCCCAGAGAAGGAGATCAGACTGAGGAGGGACTGGTTGGATTCATTCTTCCACAGGGTCCCTCTGGCTGCTGAGAGAAGAATGTAGTGTGGGGTTGTACTAGGCCATGTGGAGGGGGGCCACTGCAGGGTTCCAGAGAGCCATGGGGCTCCTAGTCATTGGCTGCCAGTGGGGTCCACAGAAGTGACTGGAATGCAGAAGGGTTTGGAGAGGGCTCTGCAGGCCCTATTGACAATGGGGGGTTGGCAATGAATGTGAGAGGGGCTGGCTATAACAGGCCCACAAAGAGGCCTGGGTGTCTCTTAGGTTGGTAGAGAGCTGGAAGGGTGTGTCCCTGTTGAATCGGGTCTGGGGGTCTGGGGGGCCTGTTGGACATGCCACCCCCATGAAGGTGGAAGTCTCAGGGGTCACAAAAATCATTCTGTTTCCAGCAACCTTCAGCCAGTCCCCCACAGAGACAATGGCAGTCCCAAGTGGCAGCTCCCTCATGTTCCTGCCACTGGCCTTAGCACATGCCTCCCTAGCCAGCTGGCTGTCATAGGGCAGAGGAATGTGCCCACCTTTGGCTCCTGGCCTTGCTCTCTTCACCTTCTGCCCTCCCTACAGCAGTGGTCATTTCCCAAAAGTGTCACCAGCTCACCATGTTCTCTCCCTCCCACCCCTGCTCTCTGGACAAGCAGTTTTTGAGAGTTGCACACACCCCTCCACTTCTCACTTCTTCACCTGGTTCTCCTGGCACTGCCCACAGTGCTTCCTTCAAGCAGCTTCACCCAGGTCACTGCTGCAGCCACTGTCCTCTTTTGTGGACATCACACCCCCACTCTGTCCTCTTGCTGTCTACTTCATGGGATCCTCTTCTTGTGTCTCCGAAACGTTCTCTGTCCTGGATCTCTGGATGGCCTCAGCTCTTTTTTTTTTTTTTTTTTTTTTTTAGGGGGGATACCAGGGATTGAACTCAGGGGCACTCGGCCACTGAGCCACATCCCCAGCCCATTCTGTATTTTTTTTTAGAGACTGGGTCTTACTAAGTTGCTTAGTGCCTCATTTTTACTGAGACTGGCTTTAAACTCGTGATCCTCTTGCCTCAGCCTCCCAAGTCGCTGGGATTACAGGCAAGTGTCACCATACCCAGCTGGCCACAACTCTTTCATCCCATCTGTGGGTCACTTCCTTAAAATCTTTTTGTCTCCAGACAGGATTCAGTTCCAGGCTGAGCCAAAGAAGACCCAAGTTAGAGTCCTCTGATGAGCAATGTCACCCTGCTATCTCTACCCTCCCCCTAGCCTAAGCACAAGGGACAAGGCACACCTCTTGAGGCTCCTCCTGCTAGAGGGGTGGAGATGCTGCCCCTCCCTCACCTACAGGCACAATCTGGCTCAGGCCAGAATTGCTTTTCTTCGTAAAGCTGACCGGATGACTGCAGGCTTAGCTTAACCGGATGAGCCATCTGGTGACTCCAGTGACTGAGATCACATCAGGGAGCCTGGGATTGAGCATGGCACACCTTATTTTCCCAGACAGGACAATAACCACTCCTTCCTTCCCCACCCACTCTCAGTGTAGTCTTGGCCCTAGGAAAATTCACAACAACCTTGCCTTTACTGGGGAGGCCTGCAGGTCCCTGTGGACAGGAGCACAGGCATGGGGAGCTGGGTCCTCCAAGCAGAGGCTTTTGGGGGAGGGTCTGTGCACCGGCCAGGCACCAGGGGGCAGCCTTATCCTATTCCTGCCCCAGTCTGGCAGGTCACACGCCCTTAGCGGCCCACTCCAGGGAGGGGTGGGGTGGCAGGGATCATCATGCAGTCCACCTATCTTGGAGACAAAGTGTACCTTTACTTGTCAAACAGGTTCCTCTTTGCCCACCTTGGAGACTCACAAAAATCGGTTAGCCCAAGTTCAGATCCCACTTCCAGCTTCCAGAGCTATACCCTTGGGGAGGACTGACCGCTCAGCAGCTCACGTGGATGTAGATACACCTCCAACTCTATCCCTCCAGGCCAGCTGGGAGCCCAGCCCTTCGGAAGTTCAAAGCACCCTGGACCCCTTTTCGGGCAGGGAGTTGGCGAGCTTTAGACTTGGGTATCCAACACTGTCCAAATCCCAGCTGGGAGCCAGAAAAGGGCTGGAGATGGGGCGATCAGGACCGATCTCGAGCAGGAGGAAAAGACTCCAGTCTGGAAGGAACATAGAGGGGGGAGAGGGAGAGCCAAGGATGGCTGGAAGCGGGCCAGGGGAGCCGTCTTCCCAGAGCTGGGAAGGGCCAGTAAGAAGACAGAGGGGAGAAGTGGGCCGGGCCGGGGCCAGGTGAGCCCAGGGAGAGGGGCGGTTCAGCCCCAGGGAAAGGCGGTGCTGGACGGCACCCCAGGTAGCAGCCATCCGGCCCGTGGTTGGAGCCGCGTCTTCTTCTGGGAGGAGGGCGGGAGGAGGTGGGCGGAGTGACGGGGAGGGCGGGAGCGAGGGATGGAGGGGGGAGGGGGACCAGCCCGGTCGTGGGGGTGGGGCGACAGTGACATCACCCGGGAGTCGGTTCTTAAGCTGCGGCCGGTCGCATCGGGGAAGAGAGGGACGGTGGGAGTGCGGTGGCGAGTCGCTGAGCCCGCCGCGGCCCCGAGAGCGGCTTGAGCCGCTGCCGGGAAGGAGGGGCCGAGGTGCACCCGGGCCGCTGGAGCCCCCGGAGCCGCCAGAGCCGCCAGAGCCACGGACGAGGAGTGCAGCCGCTGCCGGCCAGGGCCGGGGCAGGGGGCGCGGGCCACAGGTCCCTGCTCCGGCCCCCATTTGCAAACAGTGGGCGCCTGATGCCGCCCGCGCCCCGCTAGGCTGAGCCTCACGCCAGGCGAGCAGCCGCCGCCACCGCCGCAACTGGAGTCGTGGGCAGGAGCCTTGGGAGCCGCAGCCGCCGCCCGGCCGAGCCCCGCCGCCGCCCGCGCGCCCCCGGGCCCCCGACACACATGAGATTCTTCAGGCTCACTTTCAAGTGCTTCGTGGACTGCTTCTGACTGCGCCGCCCCCGCCGTCCCGCACCCCGCCCGCCCGCCCGCCGCCCCGTCCCCCCGGCCCGGCAGCTCCCGAGGCCCCCGGGCGGGCCCGCGCCTTCGGGGCCCTTCCCCCGGGTGCCGCCGGCGCCCCTTGCCCGCCCGCCCCCGCGAGGCGCCGCGACCCCCGGCCCGGCAGCGCGGCCCTTCTGGGCCATGGCGAAGAAGAGTGCCGAGAACGGCATCTACAGCGTGTCCGGCGACGAGAAGAAGGGCCCCCTCATCGTGCCCAGCCCGACGGGGCCCCGGCCAAGGGCGATGGCCCCGCCGGCCTGGGGGCGCCTGGCGGCCGCCTGGCTGTACCACCACGAGAGACTTGGACGCGCCAGATGGACTTCATCATGTCGTGCGTGGGCTTCCCCTTGGGCCTGGGCAACGTGTGGCGCTTCCCCTACCTGTGCTACAAGAACGGCGGAGGTAAGCGCCCCCGCCCCGCTGCATCCCCGCTCCTGGCCGTGGCCCCTCCCCCAGCCTGCCGCCGGCCCATCGGAGCGGAGGGGCGAAGTCCAGGGGGTGGGGAGGCCCCCCAGGGTGCACGGAGGCCGAGGTGCCCCTCGCCGGCTGGGCCGCTGGGTGGCACAGCTCGGTGGCCTCCACCCCCCTCACCAGTCATGTGCCTGGCACTGTGGGGGGAGGCGGCCGGCAAGCCTCCTGCCTAACTGAGGAGCTGACCCCCAGACTCCCAGCTGAGGCCCAGAGCGATTGGTCACTGAGATGGGAAGGGGAAGCCTGCCCACTAGAGGGGCTCCAAGAGGTGAGGAGTCCTGGCTGCCCCCACGGATCAGACACAAATGGCACATTGTGTGGGCCCCCCACGTGTGCACACACGAACACACACACACAATGGGCCACTCTGTCCCTCCCCCATGTCCTCCCCTCCCCTCCCTTCTCTTCTCTTCCATTCCCTCCCCTCTCCTCTGGCCTGGGCCTGGAACACTGGGTGCCTGAGCCAGGCTTGGGAAGCCTGCGGCCTGGCCCGCCTGGCGCCGCCGCTGGACACACGGCATGCACACCCCATGCCCATCCGCCGAAGCCCAGCTTAGCAACAGTGATGGACACGCATGTGTCCTGTGACTGCAAAGCAGCACTGGGTCGCTGGGAAGTGGAGCAACTATGTGATGGGTGGGAAACTGAGGCCCAGAGGGAAGGCCTTTGCCCAAGGTCACACACAAGAAGGATGCTGGGACTAGGAGCCTGGCAGGCTGTAGTTAACTTGGCCAGTGAATAGTGGAGAAAGCTGAGCCAGGGGCAAGTGTAGTAGAGAGAAGTAGGGGGGAGTGGGCAGGGACTGCTGGTACCCAGCTCCCCTTCTGTCACCTACCCAGCCTACTGATAGCCTATCTCCGACTATATCCTGCCTGCCTCCTCCAGAGCCTGGCTCACTGGAGCTTGCTGTGCTTAACTTGGTCCCTTTCCTCCACCTGTCCTCCTCTGTCCTTGTACTCAGACACCCCCCAACAGCAAAGGACCGTCACCCACTCACCCCCTCCTTGTCTTTTGACAAGCCCCCAGGCCTGACCATGTGTCTTCGCCATTCCTCCAGCTGCTGCCCGGCAAGCAAAACTGGCACAAGGGATGGCCTGCATGCATGAGTGCATGTCCTCCGAGCCCATTAGGTCACTCTAGGTGTCCAGGGGGATGGAACCTCCATGGGCATGGCCCACACAGGGACTGGGCTATAATGGCCAGGGGAAGCTATAGTCCCTCCTGTCAACAGATCCAGAACCCACCCCCAAAGACTGTTCACTTTGGGCTTCTGAGTCAGCGACCATCCGTGCACTGATTCACCCAGCGGGAAGTTATGGGACCAGAGTAGAGGCCAGAGCTGGGGCTCCACCTGGATCTCCTAGGGCTTCTGAAGTCTGGGTTAGCCAGCTGGGCCTGGACAGGCTGGCTGACAAATTTTGATCTGTTTCTGGCTTGGGGCTACCCTGTGCCAGTGCCCATGGTCTTCGAGGGGTACTGAGAGGTGTTGTTGTGGTCTGTCTTCTGAACCCCCTCCCATGGCTCTTTCCCCAGGTGTGTTCCTTATTCCCTATGTCCTCATTGCCCTGGTTGGAGGAATCCCCATTTTCTTCCTGGAGATCTCACTGGGCCAGTTCATGAAGGCCGGCAGCATCAACGTCTGGAACATCTGTCCTTTATTCAAAGGTGAGCAGCCCTGGGCCAGTTCCTATCCTCCCCCCAGGGACTACTCCCCTTTCCCACTTGAGATCTTGTTCTGTCCTGGCCTGGGGACAGGTGATGGCCCCCAGTCTCAAGGGACAATATGAAGGATGTGCAGACCATATAGCAAACTTGGGGAGACTGGGGATAGGACCTGCTGAACATGCTTGGCTTATTAGGGAGGTGTTACTATTGTTATTGAGGAAGCAGGGCATGGAGAGGGGAAGTAACTTGCCCGGTTGTCCACTGAGGGAGGATGACTATCTCCCATGTTGCCTCAGGTTACTAAAAATCTCCCCCAGCTGCTACGTACTGGAGGCTGCTGGGGGGCCAGGTGGAGGCTTGCCTCCAGTGACCACAGTGGTGGCAGTGGGACCTAGGAGAGGGGCCAGGTACCCGAAGCTGGAGAATTGACAGACTAGTGACCAGATGGGGCAGGAGGGGAGGGTTCCACCTTGGCTCTGGAGTGGATGGAGGAGATGAAGAACAGAAGGTGGACAAGGAGCAGGGGGAGTGTTGATGGGGGACAGACTGGGGAGGTGGCACACTGTTGGGACACACAGGGGTGCTCCGGGTGCTCGGAGAAGTCTGTGGAGCACAATAGCACAGGCCCTGGGAGGATAAGGGAGGGGGAGGATGTGGGCACAGGGAGCGGTTCTTAGGGGCTCAGCAGCCCTGGAAGGGGAGCAGAGCGAATGGGGGTGCCAGGAGGTAGCCAGAAAAGAACCCACATGTAAAGGAAGCCCTGGCTCACCCTCAGGCCTGGGCTATGCCTCCATGGTGATCGTCTTCTACTGCAACACCTACTACATCATGGTGCTGGCCTGGGGCTTCTATTACCTGGTAAAGTCCTTCACCACCACTCTGCCCTGGGCCACGTGTGGCCATACCTGGAACACTCCTGACTGTGTGGAGATATTTCGCCATGAAGACTGTGCCAATGCCAGCCTGGCCAATCTCACATGTGACCAGCTTGCTGATCGTCGGTCCCCTGTCATCGAGTTCTGGGAGTGAGTCTGGTTCCCCATCCCATCCCTACAGTCCCCCACAGGTAGTCCAGTCCTGAGGAAACATAGCCAGGGATGCAGGAACAGCCACTCCAGGTCCTGCCTCTCCCTGTTCTAGAGGAGTATCCAGGCCTGCTACTGGGGGGTGGTGGGGCTTGCTTCTTCAGTGACACTTGTCACTGTTCTTTCACCAGACCCGCTTGGTGAGGGAGCTGGGGTTGCGTGTATGCAGGGGGTGTGGGTGGGGTCAGCTGGCAGCACACAAGCCGGGGCCTGCCAAGCTCCAGGCACATTACAAGACCTGGACCAGGGTCTGTAGGTGGGACAGAGGAGCCACCATTCCTGGGGGCATATCCCATCCACTATGCCCTCTGCTGGCAGGGCCCACAGGTGTCCTCCTTCTCTCCCCCTAGGAACAAAGTCTTGAGGCTCTCTGCAGGGCTGGAGGTGCCAGGGGCCCTCAACTGGGAGGTGACCCTATGTCTGCTGGCCTGCTGGGTCCTGGTCTACTTCTGTGGGTGGAAGGGAGTCAAGTCAACAGGAAAGGTACAGCTGGATGTGGGCAGGGTGGGGCCAGCATTGCCCTGGGAGAGGTGTGTCCCTGCAAGGACATTACAAAATGGGGTGTCCAGCCAGGCACAGTGGTGAATGCCTGTAATCCCAGTGGCTCAGGAGGCTGAGACAGGAGGATGGCAAGTTCAAAGTCAGCCTCAACAACTTAACAAGGCACTAAGTAACTCAGTAAGACGCTGTCTCAAAATAAAATACAAAATAGGGCTGGGGGTGTGGCTCAGTGGTTGAGTGCCCGAGTTCAATTCCCAGTACCAAAAAAAAAAGGGGGGTGTCCAGACTGGAACTAAGGACTAAGGAATAGAGAGGTCCTTAAATCCAGACCACTTTATCACACCCCATCACAGGATATTCCATCCTACCCTCCCAATCCAGGGAGCAGCAGCCTTCATTCCAGAGGGGAAAGACCCATGCAGTAGCTGCTCCTTCCTTCCCTGTGCCCATCCTCTGTCCCCACCCTCACACTTTTTCCCTCTTTAGTTCCTTTATTCCTTCCTCACTGCCTCAGCCTGTTTCTATGGTCTGGGTGGACCTGGTCTATGGTTTCCAGTGCTGAGGGCCCGGAGGGAAATCTTCACACACTTCCTCCTTCAGGGGTTGTCAGGTCATGGAGACCAATGCATGAACAGATACATAATAGGACAGTGTGTCACTGTGGGAAATGGCCAGGTCAGTCCCTGGAGGGTAGGACTGGATGCATTCACAGTAGGGTCCCCAGAGCTTGGATACTGGGCAAGGAAGCAGAGGCCTTTGCTGTCCCTTTCTCTAAAAAGTACAGGGGGTGAAACCCAGGTTCTTTATATTTAATAGGCAAGTGCTTTACCTCTGAGCCACACCTTTTCCCCTTTCCCTTTCCTTTCTGTGTGGCCCAGTTAGAATCCTCAACTAGTAAGGACCCTACCTCTGTACAGAGGATGACCTGGAGTTTGAGGCCCCACAGGGCTCTGAGAGGGACATGGCTTGTCACCCCATGCTACACTGCCAGCATTAGAGTCCTTGTTCATTCATCCCCACACCCCACACCTTCATCCCCACACCCCAACACCTTCCCAATCGTGCATGGACAAACCCCAGAAGCTGCCTCAATTCTGATCCTCAGGACTGAGTTCACATGGGCTCACTCACTCCCTGTGAGCGCCCTTCCCTGCAAGACATTAGATGTGCCTAGGGATCCTCCTCTGTAAGAGCCACGGTCTAGTCTCTCCCCTCCCTCTGCAGCTGGCCTGTGCTTGCTGTAGAGCTGCCCAGGCCTCTATCTTCCCTCAGGGGAGCCCTAGCTCTGAGAAGAATGGGGCACCAGTGCTCGCCCTCCCTCTGAGCATAAGGGCACACCATGGCTCCCCTGGTCAGATGCCAGGCTCAGGGGGAGGTAGGGGCACAGGCCCTTCTGAACATCCCACCCCTTCAGATCGTGTACTTCACTGCTACATTCCCCTATGTGGTCCTCGTCGTGCTGCTGGTGCGTGGAATGCTACTGCCTGGGGCCTTGGATGGCATCATCTATTATCTCAAGCCTGACTGGTCAAAGCTGGGGTCACCTCAGGT